TCTGGCTTCTCGTATGTCGATTTTTCGGGTCTGATGACCATCAAGCGAGTTAGAATTTCCTTCTCCCTCATATTATCCATTTTGGGCACCTCACTCCCTTTTAACTAATCTGTGGGGAAGTAAAGAGAGAACAAGCGATAAATCTACAGTACAGGCAACAATGTTTGGATTTATTTAGTGCATTCAGGCGTTGAAGCAAGGGAAACGCTTGACTTGATGAAATTGGCTTTTTGTAAAATCCTGCAACACCCTCGCCCCTTCGTCTCCTGAACAAAATTCCAGCACCCTAACGGTAGGCCACATTAAGCAACTTTTCACTGTTTTATAATGCCAAATTTGTCGAGTTTCGCCGTATCTTGTTTATAAATAGATCAATAGGTTCAGCAAAGGAGATGGATCGTGGAACATGAATAATATCGTCTCCGCATTTTTCAGCCAATTTATTGTTTAAATTCATGTCTTTTGTTGAATTTGTTTGGTCTTGCAAGTCACAGTTCGTTTCTTTTACATAGCATTATTTAGCCTCTTTTGCTCACTCAAATTTTTAGGCCGTCACCACGATCTTGGATTTCTTGTTCACAGCACTGTGGCCAGTACCACTCCTGTTTCAACAATTATCAATTTAAGTAGTGCGTCTGCTGCGAAACAACGCATCATTGCTACATTTGTCAAAGCAAATAAGCGTCAAACTGGTTCCATCCTTTATACCATCCTCTTCCTGTACGTAGACGCACAATCAAACGCACAAATGAACACACATACACACAAACATAGATATACACATGTATGTATTACACAGAACTCATACAAGCACTTGTACAAATGCATGTTACCGCTCCTTCACAGGACTTGAGTCACACCACGTCCGCCTAGTGCCAGTCATAATTCAACAAAAAAAAGACTAAAAAAAACGCTTAAAATGCTCTAAGCTAAAAAATATTTTAAAAAATGTTCCAATAAACAAGTGATTGTTTGCTGCAGTTGTCTGCGGAAGATGAACCCTGCAGGATTTCAGACTTTCCCGGGCACCACTAGCAACTGTG